ACAAATATTATAAAACATATATTTAAAATATGATTGATATTATGTGTTTATGAACCGATAGTATATGTTGGTTTAATATAAATTTTATATTAAAGATGAAATCATTCGTGCAAAACAATATTTGTAGAAAACCCTTATAATTTTATGCTTTCTTTTAAAAAGTACGAAAGCTACTTTGAAAATTGCTTGGAACTTTTTAAATCAATGGCACAGGTAACATAATAGACTACACAGCATATGAGTAGTTAGAGTGTGGGACTGTGGGTGTGTATCCCTCTTAATAATTCGAAATCTCTTACAGTTCTCTTAAGAGGACGCCATATCATGGGAGAAATTTTTCATTGCAAATTCTCTTTCACCTCCATAACTAATTTAAAATACTGAAAATAAATTTTTAAAATATTCCAATGAAAATAAATATGAGAAGTTAGTTCTCTTCCAATAAGTTGTTTGCAGTTTGATATTTAAAAAAAAAAATATCAGCAATTGAAACTTCATGGCTTACTCTAGGTTTGTATGAGCTCACTTTTTTTTTTCTTTTTTTTTTTTAAATTAGTTATGGAGGTGAAGGATTCACGACAAAAAGTTTCTCCCTTCGCGTCCTCTAAATATTTCAGACAAATTAAAATCAAATTTGCTGAATCGTAATCCATTTAAATTATTTAGCAAAGTAAAAACAAAATGAGATATTACTCCAAGATGAGATTAATCATCTTGCAGATAAAATAAAAAAAAATTCAATTTATTTTTCACTAAATGTTGAAGTTTGTGAGCGTTTGCAGCTGTGTTAATTATTGCTCTCAAAAATTCGATGTCTGACTCTTATGCAATGACTCTCAATGGTTACTAAAATATCAAAATTTGTGTAATGAAATGTGTTTTAATAAATTTATCATAAAACGTTCATAATCACCACAATAATAGTAAAACTTAAATACAAGTAAAAGAAATTTGATATTTACTGGATGAAAAGTATTTAAATTTAAGTGGTTGCAAAATCAGGAAATTCAGACATTCATTTGTTTTGATCACTAGTTAATTAGTATTTGAATATTTTTGGGGGACCGCTGAGAGCCCCGACTGCAATTACATGGTCCTTAGCGTTTTTAAAAAGTGCTTATTTTTCATTTTCGTTTTTAAAATCCCTTAAAGGTGCTTTTTTATGGGACGTTTTTAAAAAGTGCTTCATTTTTCCTTCTCGAAAATGAGATTTTTTTTTCTTTAACCACGTCAATTTCTTTAACCATGTCCAAGCGTGGTTTTTACATTATTCTACATATATTCAGCGTTATTCACAATTTATTCAACCACAATCTATTTTGGTGTACCGTTGGTTCATAGCGTATAAAAACGCCAATCATTTTACATGATTGATGAAAATACTTGCGAGTCCTCATGTGCATATACTGAGCTGCCTTCTGATATCGAACCGAAAAATCTCTCGATCATTTTACAATTTCTCGATCACTACAATAAAAACAAGAAAGGCGTTCTTTGTCAGAAACTAGTTATTTTGTTATGATCCTGTAAAGTCTTTGAAAATTATTTTGAATTTGACTCTGATAATTTCTTATGCATCTTAATGAAAAAAAGGCTGGAAAAAAAATTGTTTTTTCGTCAACCTGCGTTTGATCAAGAATTTACTATTACTTATATTTTATGTCTACTTATTGTTTTCAAAAAATTGCACTTAAAATTGGGTGCGCCTTATTTTACTTTTCATTTTAGCATGATCCCAATTATTTTATTATTTAATGCAAATTAATTATTCTTTTATACTACATAACACTCTGAAAATTAGTTATCAAAAAGGTTTTCTTAATTATAATGGGTCGTTTTGAAAGAATGAAGGGCACTTTTATGCTACAGTGAAATTAAGTAAAATACAATGCATGAATGGGCACAAATAGTGTAATTAACTACACTAATATATTGAATTGAACGTTATTACCCTCTTTTAAATTTGTTTCTTCTTTCTCTGCAATTCTATAAGGATTTTGTTCTACTATCGATCTTACCTCTGAAGGCAGGGCCCGACTTATCCTAATTGGGGCCCCGGGGCAAAAACTTCTTTTGGGACCCCATTCTGAACTATATGGAGGTATTTAAATTTTTCACCTCATTATACACATATAACAAGAAAATTGACTAGAACCTAAAATAGCTATGAAGTCGCCCCCCCCCCTTTCTCTAATAGTATCGTTCTGTCCATTTTATTAATTTTCAGACAATTTTATGCCCATTATGCCGAATGCAGTTTTCTAATTCATAACTTTGTCGTCTAGCTGCGAAAAATTCATATCCTTGCTGACATTAGGGCGGAATTCAGCTCAATTTTCGCAATTACGATGGCTCACTTAAGCCAATGAAAAGCCTTATTTTTGCAAAATTTCGCATTTTGCGATATGTAAAAATACAGGCTTTTGATTGGCTAAATTTGTCCATCGTAATTGCAAAAATTTAGCTGAATTCCGCACTAGAAAGCCATGAATTTAGAAATATAGATTTATCGTGTTCATACGATAGATTAATGAAGAAGCTAACATAAAACAGACGGATTTTACACTAAACTGATATTTTGTTTAAAAAAAAGTTCATCAAAGAAGGAAACCAAAAATAAATTTTTAATTCGATTTGGGGGCCCCTTCTGATGTGGGGCGCGGGGCAACTGCCCCGTTTGCCCTTGCCTTTGTCAGGCTCTGTCTGAAGGTGTATTTTTTATTTTTATTATAACCAGCGTTGAACAGCACTCAATTCTGAGTTCACGATTATCAACGTTTAACTCCGTAACCTTTTTATTGTGAACCCGACCCAGAAGACAAGTGAACTCCTGGAGTATTGGGACAAACTAGTGGGTGGTGTATATTTTTTTTCTCTAAAATTTAAGAGCTCGATGACGCAACTTTATGCTAAGCAGAAATACACTTTATGCTGAAACACTAGTTCTACAAGAATTATGTTTAATTAAATGAAATTTTTTCACCCTCTGACTACTATAAATATTCCTATCCCATTCAAGAAAGTATGCCATTATAACGGAGACTACTAATAACACAATTATGAAAAATTTTAAAGGAAAATTTGTTGATTTGAGACAAGAGATAATATTTTTCATTAAGAATAAGTTTTTTCTTTTGAATAAAAACCATAATTTTTCATACAAATTTTTTCTCTTTTGGAAATATTTTACCCTAAATGCAATATTTTTAAAGTTAGAGAAATTTTTTAACACATCACATTAATTAGGTTCTTAAATCCTCAGTAATATAATCTGAAAACGCAATCAAATCTGTAAAATAAACTTAATAAGTACATCTGTTGGTGTAACAATGCAATCTACATTTTGATTACTCAACAATAAATTATATTTTACTACGCGATACTGTCTTAGGACAAGCGCCTTATCTGGGCGTCAGCGGTACGTCAACGTCGCGCTGACGCCAACAAAATACTGGTTTGTTAGCTCAAGGCCTGGTTTCTTAGAACTAGCGCCTTATCTGGGCGTCAGCGGAAAGTTGACGTAGAGCTGACGCCAAAAAAATACTTTTTTGTTAGCTCAGCGTGAGCAGTCGGTCCAACGCAGACATTATCTCTCATTGCGCATGCGTTAATAACGTAAACAAATATTTATTTTGAATTTGTATTGATTTTGTTATTGTCGACCAGTGTTTTAGAGAACAAATAATGACTTTGTCCAAGAAAAAACACATTATAGCTGAGCTAAATGAAGAGTGCTATGTTTAATGAAGAAGCTATGTTTAATGTCAAAATCAAAATCTTGGCTGATTTCAATGTGCTGTTGGATGTTGTCCGCCATTGCTTCTGTGGTTAACGTCACGTTGTAATCCAACTGCAGTTGAGTTGGACGGCAATTGTAGTTCAAGATGAGCGTTCGATGACGTATACTATCAAACTCACAAATGGACCAATCAGAGGTTAACGCTGATTTCCAGCTGACGGCGTCCGAAACCAGGCCTTCAGTGAAGTATACAGTGGTGAATCATTGCAAATCTAACAGTTCGCAGATATCAATAACGTTGTGAACTATTTAAAACAATTGAAAGACAATCAGGCTACTTTGTAAAAAATTGTTGTAAGCTCATTAATAATTAATTTAATCAAAACAACTGTTAAATAACATATTTGGCGCTAATGGGTATTTTTTAAACTAACAATTTAAAAAAAAAAAAATTTTTTTTTTTAAAACTTTTGACGAAGCTCAAATTTCATTTCATGTTTTTCTTTCTAAAGAAGTGTGATCAGCCACTCTTTTTCCGTATAGTATATTCCAGATATAGTATACTTTATTCCAGATATAGTATACTTTATTCCGTATAGTATACTTTATTCCAGAATTTTCAATATACAACAGCACAATACGCAGAAACATCTTCCAGTCAACAGAGAATACAAGGTGTGTTTCATCAAAATTCTCTTGAACAATTTGAAAATGTAGCTTATTGTTACAAAGCTCCAAGACCGTTATATGTAACGACACATAATTTTATACAGAGGAAGCAGATACTTCAAATGCAAAAAATTAATATTACAGAGGTAGGAATTAAGAAAATTTAGTCATTGGTCAAAAGAACCAGTTACTGAAAGATATTAATAGTCTGTACACCATTTCACTGGTCTCTATTAGATTACACGTTACTATTAGTTTTTTCTTAAAAATATAACTATGAAGTGAATTTTAAAGAAAAATTACAATACAGAGAATGTGCAATGTCACAATTATGATTAATTAGGCTATTTTGTAGTAAAAAACAAAAAAATAAAGAAGGAAGAATATAAATATCCATATTCTTTGGTAAAACCCCCCAAACCATAACAGCATAAACCAAACCAACAGATTGTTGGTGCAGGGGATCACTAATAATTATTTTATAGCAGTCCTATTAAAATTTTAGCAGTCTCCGACCACAGGATTATCACTAATTTTTGAGCCTTATAATGAAGATCGTTTCACCAGGAGAAAAAAAAACGATTTGAACTTATTTGAATTTTCGGAAAATAATTTATTTAATAACGTATCAATTTCAATTAAATTTCTTAAAATGTCTAGACACATAAATCGATAATTAAAAAGAGTAATCATCTGGATGATACATTTCAGAGAGCAATCTGTAGACATAGGATGGAGCATTTCCGCCCATATTTGAAATCATCAATGTTATTAGTTCAGGTGGAACATAATCAAATGCTGGATTTATTACTTCAACGCCATCAAACAATGCACTGTCATCAAACGGAATGAGTTCTTCAGGAGCCCTCATATGATTAAATCCTTCTTGGTCAGATGAAGTCACATATTGTGGAGTTAATTTAAACATTGGGGCAAGAACTATGAAAGGCTTCGAATGATGTCTGGCAGCAAGAGCTAAGGCATGGGTGCCACAAAGAGCTTTTAATCCACCATTCGCCATGACACTGTGCGTCCCAACTATAACTTTGTCTACTCGGGACATAAGGGCAAAAATAGCAGCATCTTGTATCAAAGTTGTTTGAATACCACTTTCTGCTAAGCTTTTGGCCAGATCATGACCGCCAAGAGAGGGAAATGCTTCTGCTACTAAAACTTCACATTTTCGCTTGACTGCTTTCTTCAAAAACTTTTCTACTGTTCTTGAATGTCCAAAGGTTAAAATAACTTCTCCAAAATGAATATGTTCTTGGGATTGTGCAGCTATGTCTTGTGAGCTTCTTTCAAACTCTTCCATTAATTCTCGGAGGTTGGCTGAAATTGATTTTTTTAAGGAATCTAAATGTTTGGTAAAATCCAGTTGTTCTTCGGCCACAAGCATTTTTTGAAGCGATTCCTGCTGCTCATATTCATCTACTTTACCCATAGCAGTAGAATATTCGTCTCGAATTATTTTCAGGATTCGTTTTACCATGTTTCCAACGACCGTGTGAGTAGCTTGGTTAGTTGACTCGTCTAATCTTTTGCCAACATTTTTAATGAGTTCCATTATGTCTTTCGCAGTTTCTAAGTGAGAATTTGTTATTATTTTCTCTAAAAGCTTGACAGTTTCACAGGCTATTTCTTTTGAAAACTTCAGTTTTTCTTCTTTTAAGTCTTTTAAGAATTTTTCGATAGCAACATCATTAGATTCTGTTGAAGTTGCTTCAGAAATTTTTTCAGATTCCACTAAAAAGACAAAAGGCTATTTATACACAAAAAAATTATAAACAAGTACATATAATTATGCTAAGTAAAATATTAAAGAACATCTTAGACAACTTTGAAACAGTAGAAAAGAAAGATAAATGCAGACAGTATAAATCTTCCTTTCATAAGCAATAATTTTATAAAAACTGTTGTGTATAATATAGTGAAGCATAGACGATTCCAACCAAATAAAAATTATGCCAAAACATTAAAGTTTCTTTATTAATGACTTTCCATACACAAAGAAAAAATAAAAAAATTTACTTATTGATAATTTTAAAACATAATTTTGAAGTTTTTAGCAGCTTAAATTGTAATAGGTCTTTCAGAGACAAAAAAAAAGGATGATTATAAAAAAAAGGGAATTCAAAAATTTTTTAAGTAAACAATTGATCTACATGATTATAACAATAAAATAAACAAGGTCCAATTATTGTGCTGATAGTGAGTATAAACAAATAACAAGAAACACAGGAATTTTAGAAACAAATATGGTTAGAAAAATAGGGGTAAAAATTTGGAAAAAAAAAAAGAAAATTTTATTAAATACTAAGTTCCTATGCCTTGCTTGATAATAAAATTATAGTTATTAAATGAATTTTTCCTACATTTCTAACTTAAAACACACACACAAACAAAAACAAACAATTATAATGAATGTGAATTATTTGCAATTTTTGCCTTCTCAACCTGTAGTTTAAAAAAAAAGTGTTGAAAAAGAAAAAGTGTTTCTTCATGTGTTTTAATCTGCATTTTTTAAATATATTGTATTCTAGATAAGTTAATCAAGACTAAGACAATTGCAAATTAGAAAATACTTACGTACAAATTATAAAATATATAAAAGATAATTGCAAATTTGAAATCTTACACAAAGAAAACAGTTGTATATACTGCAAACCTACTAAAAATAATTTCAATAGCTGAAAGGAAAATTTTTTATACATCAATTAAAAGGTATTTTTCACTGAAGAAAGATTAATCAGATTTTGTTTGTTTTTTAAAATAAGTTTTAATAAAGATGAACCCCTCCCATTTTTCTCTCTCTCTCTCTTTTAAGCTTACTTGCTAATTTTAATTTATACAACAGAAACTTTTTTTTTGACACTATGCTTCATTGCTTTAACTGAGGCAATTGCCTTGATTTTTTTTAAACTTATTTTTTGGCTGCTTTATCAAAAAACTTACTGAACTCTCTTTTTTTTTCACTTTTCTTTTGTAATATGTTTAAAATAAACTAAGAAAATTTAGTCACTGGTCCAAAACACCAGTAACTAATTAGTCCATACACAATTTAAAAAAAAAATAACTATACAAAAAATGTGTAGCGTCACAATTATGACAAATATGTTATTTTGTAAATCAAGACAATAGAACATTGATTGCTAGTTCCTGAAAACCAATGAAAAATATTTCATGATGGTTCCAGCCAAATTTTAATGGTTTTGGAATAATGTTCCACTGTTAGTTTGAGCTCTGGGTTAATTAGAAAGATGTTTAAATTCTGCACCAGTTACAGTTTTTGCTTTTAATATTATTTTTCTTACGTTGCTTTCTTTAAAAAAATTTATTTTTTCATTTTCTAAATTAAATAAATAAAAATAATAACAAGATATTTAACTTAAAATGCATTCCCTATTTCATTACCTCAGAAAACAAGAATCCTTGCATAAAATAATTAAATAAAGAAAAAGATTTTTTTGGTAGGTAGACTTAAGTTATAGTAGAATCTTTTAAAGAAGGAAAAGATTCCTTACTCATAAAATAAAATCTTTAAATGCATGAAAAGAAATCTCTAATTGTGGTAAGAAATTGAAAAATTTCCCTTTTCTTTATGTGAAATCCCAAAATTTAGGGAAACGTTCTAAAATACAGGTGAAATTTTCCCTCAATAAGAAAAAAATTACAGTAAGTAAAAGAAATTACATGGCATATATGTGAGTGAAAACAAGAACTTAATAGATTAAATGTTAGAAATAGAGACATAAGAAAAAATATGAACTTTTAGGAATTTAGAGCTCACTGCTAAAAGTCCTAAGAAGCTTAAATTAAGTTTTATGAGTAACACTTTTTGTTTGTATGATTTTTTTTTGAAACGTTATATAGAAAAAAAGGTGTTGAAATAAATTTAACAGAAAGGTAAACAACTATTTTCATCAAACCTTCAGAAAAGAAATTTATTATGAATATTTTTACTAATTTCTTTATGCGTAGAATTTTGAAATGATTACCAAATGAAAAAAGTTTCTCTTTTGTAATTAATGAAATTTCATGGATTCTAGTGATAAAAGAACTTAACTAAGGGAGAAAAAAAACACAAAAGAGAAGATAAATGTAAATAATTCTATTAAAGAAGTACATATTATGTAGTAATTGTTAGATTTAGTATTATAAAATGAACAAAAACTTACTTATCACAAAAAGTTCCTTTTAACACAATCAGATATCTTAAAAGTATTAGATTCCTAAAGAGAAAATCAATTTGTAACATGAAAAGTAAAAAGAGACAAATCATAATTTTTGGAGGAAAAAAAAAGCAAATAAGTAAATAATTAGTTTATAAACAGAACAAACAATGCATGACAGCAAATGTAAAAACAAGTAAATTTTTTTTGTGTGAATAGTAGGTATTTTACTAATTAAAAGAAGGAAATGTTGCCTAGATTTTAAATTGCCAGGATTGGAAATATTTTTTCTGCAATAGCACTTTATTAATTTTTTTAAAAGAAGTTAATGAAACCAGGAATATGCTAATTAATGTTATTTTATTGAATAATGATGTTATTATGATGAATTATTATGTTATTTAATTAATGTCAATTGCCAGGATCAGAAATTGGGGAAGATTATACCCTAGACTAGGGATGGCGAACCAATGGCACACGTGCCATTTATGGCAAGCGACGCAATATTTTGGGCACGCTACCGATCGCTAAGTTTACTATTAGGCATATTAACAATTAAATTAAAATTCACAAAAACAAACAAACAAAAAAATAAACAATTATTAACAAAAAATTAACAGTTAATGAAAAAAAAACTTAATTACCATAAAAAACTAGCGAACAATGAATAACTAGCAAAAAAAATTAACAGTCCTGCTTAAACTAACATCTTACAGCCTAATATAAGTTATTTGTCATTTAATCTGCAACAACAGAAGTCACACTGATGTTAAGTTGAATTATGCGTGTAACTGAGACATTGCAAAATGTATATTTTTTTTCATAGTAAATGAAGAATTTTGAGTTGATAGTATTCAGTATTATTATTTTACCAATAATCAAGAAGTCAAAATTATTTGACGGCACGTTTATGACCTCATTAAACAATTTTTTTTAGAAAAAATGGTACATTGATGCATAAAGGTTCGCCACCCCTGCCCTAGACTCACTAACCAAAGTAAATTAATAAATTGAAAATAAATGATGAAACTAAAGTTAAAATTAAGCTATATTCATTGTTTACTATTACTTTAAGGATGATAATATTTTGAATTGACAATAATCAGAAACTAACAACACATATTAAGTTCTGCACTTTAAAAATGATTTAAATTAGAAATTTTCTTTTGCATATAATCGAAATTTTTTAAATGAACAATCGTATCAACAAAACTACCTTACATAGTTTACAAAAAATTGATGGATGAAAAATGTATGGATATGAGACTATAATCTAACAGAACTCTGAAAACAATTGAATTTTTGAGTTTAGTATCAAGCCAAGCTCTTCTTTAAGAGAGATTTATGGGAAACTAAAACATTATACCTAAATTACATTGCGGAGAAGAGGACAAGACAACTTTGAAATTATATGAAAAATAGACACACAAACTATTATTTCTTATTATAAATATATATTTCTCAGTAGGTGACAAAATGATGGAGATTTTCTATCTACGTTTTTACCACCTCAGCCAAGCATAAATGTGACTAGTCTATTATTGCTTTTTAAAAATGTACATACAATAAAACATGCTAAAAATATAACTGATTTTTAAAAATTGACTTTCATGCATTAAGAAATTAATTTTTTTACAATTCTTTCCTACGAATTACAATATTTATCAAAAATTTTTTTCTTGTTGCTGGAAGATGCTTTTGAAGTCAAGATTAAAATGTGAAGGCAAGACTAGATTGTGTAAATATTAATGACACAACAATTTAAGATTTGCAAAGCGTGATTTAAATAGATTGGTTTTAACATTCATTGTTGTTTTGTTGTCAAATTCAAACTTTCGTCAGAACTTTATACTAAAGTATCATTTTTTTGTAGTTTCAGTTTGTACCTAATGTTATTTCATAAATTTTTTACCAATATAAATATTATACGCATTTTTTTAAAAAAAAAAAAAAAAAAACTTTTTAAATTTTTTTTAACTTTTCTGAATTTAGACTCAGTCACTTGTGCTTTAGGAATGGATTAAAGTTTCTGTTTACTCTTTAATTTTTTCACAATTCTTGGGGGGGTCCATTCAATATTATTAGTCAAAATTAATATTCCAGTCTAGTTTTAAAAATCATATTACCAAAATGAGCATCATATTACCAGAGACAAACAGCATAGAGTTCCTAAATTTCAGTTAAAATCAGGGTTAAAATTTTCCGTGTTCAAATTTCAAAATTTTAGCTTAACACATTTGCTGCCACTAAAAATTATATTTCCATCATCAGAAGCCGGATTATAAAATAGGGTTTTAATGGTTTAGATGTTCCTTATATTTTACTAGGAAAACCAGAAAAATGAAGAAATATATTATTTTCCTGTTTAGAGAGCGTTTTTTCCCGACGCTCCAGCGCGTCTGATTAATATTCTCAGAAATTACTGGCATATTGCATAAAATAGCAGCTTAAAAGGAATAAAATGGAATACCATTCAAGTATATGTAATACCATTTATGAAACAATACTGAAAATATTTACAAATAATAAGCACAATATGCAGATATTGGCAGTCACGCACATAAAAGAATTCAATCAAAAATTTTTAAAACGAACCACAAAAAATAATGCTTTACTAACATGCCCAAACAACCTCTCCGTTCAACTTCCAAAGCCACACTAAACACAGAGCATATAACTTATCATAGTCGATCGATGTGCTAGCGCGTCGGCTTACCAGGAGGTGCCGCTCTGACGCGCTAGTGCGTCAGTGGCAGCAAACATGTTAAACAATCCAGAAAATACCAAACAGAAAGAAAGAGACAGAAAGACACAAATGCAAACTCTCTCTTATATCCTCATAGATTAATATTAATATATATTAATATGTTAATTTGATGTTTCAAATATACCATTTAAAAACTTCAACTGTCTTTTAAATATGTAAGTATTATTTCACGTTTTTATCGTTTCATCAAATTTTTAGCAGTTTTAACAAGATTTTGATGTTCGTCATGTCAAGAACTCAATCTAATCATTGACATGCACAAAATTTCGTCAGTACACCATCTGTGGATGAAAATAATAAAAAAAAATTAAAATTTACTAGTGCTAAAACAGTAAGAACTGAGATAAAACAAAATAATAGAAACATTCAATTCATATTTTGCAAAATATAATACAAGTAAAACCACAGATATGAATTCATCCATTACATTTAAACTTTTTTTGTATGTAATTACATTATTCACTTTCTTAAAATAGCCTTTATTTGAAATTTTTTTGTGAACTATTTATCATAATATTATCATTTGAAGTTTTAATAGAGCTTTTGAAATTCATTATACAGTAATTTTACATCATACAAATTATTTCTTATGGGCAGAATTACTGCAATGTGGAAAAAATGCTACAGCCAAAGAAAAAAAAAACCTCAGTTATTTAGTCAAGATTTCCGTATCATGATCTGTGGCAGAATAATTGTCATGCCCAGGCAACTTTCGGACGGCGACCTGCAAGAAACTAAAATAAAACATTAAACATCACGGAAAGGGACCAACTCGAAAAGTATGACTCGTTGCCAGGGCATATTTGTGTATCGTGATCTTTCTTGTCAACTACAACCCCAAGGTGCCAAATAGATTTTAAACTTGCAAATTTTTAAAAAAATAACATGTAGTTTTTTGCCCTAGGGTGGTTATGAGTTATACCTCTCTAGTTGGTCCCTTTCTGTGACGTTTTTTTGAAGTTTCTTGCAGGCAGCTGCCCAGAAGTTGCCAAGACTTTGCGATTATTCTGAAAGAGATCACAATACGCAAATGCCCCCCCCCTAGTAGCCACCCCAGGGCAAATATCTATATGTTATTATTTTTTTTTTTTATAAAAATTTGCAAGTTTAAAATCTGTTTGGTACCTTGGCGATTGTAGTTGACGCGAAAGATCACTATATGGAAATATTCTGCAAACGGCAAAACCAGTTTAAAATTTCTATCATAATTTTATTTTGCTATGCAACTGTTTTTTACCAATGATTAAAGAAATAATTTATCTTACTCATAAGTGTATAAAAATTTAATGAATATGATGTTTACATAACGTTAAATCATATCAGAAATCCTAGTAAATCAATAATTACGTCTTAAAATATACACATTTATCTCTTTTTATAAGAAGTATAACCAAAACTTATTTTGTACATATACGTGATATATCAGGGGGGAAAAAATTAGAAATTAAACATTAAAAAACATAGATTTGATTTTCATGAACATTATACTATTCAAAGAGCGTGTTTGTTTTTGAAAAAAATTTTTTTTCATAATGATGTCACTTTACCTATTGGTTTCGCAATTTCAAATTATGTTTCTAAAACTTCAAAAGAGAATGATGACTACAACATGTTTGTTTACTTTGTTGATTGATAGATTGATTAGATGTAGTAAAGAAGGCAATAAGTTTCGTGAGACATGAAACTGAGTACATCTAGCTTACTCATTTCTATTACTCACTTTCTGGAAAGTGCCATCTTGTGATTATTTAAAGTAGCTACTAAAAAGGTATTGGTGCACTGCGCATGTGCAACCATAAAACATGAAATTTGTGGTAAAATATTTTGGAGGAAAAAAAAGTTGTTGTTGTTGTTGTTGTTAATTTACGTCGCACTAGAGCTGCACAATGGGCTAAGGAAAAAAAAAGAGAAAGATTTTATCTTCTTTTTTTCTTGGAAATTGATCAAAGGTGATATGGTTAATATTAAGAGTAATTATACACTTATTTTAAAAATAGAAACAAGTGATGATTTAAAGATTACTTTTTCAAAAACAAGTTAAAAGAGTAACCGAAAACAATGAGTCATAAAAGTTTGTAATAAATAACATTGCATTCCTTTTTATTCGATTGAAGTATTTCTACCTTCTAAAACTATGAAGTATTTTAATATGGTTGTAGTTAATTTACGTCGCACTAGAGTTGCACAATAGGCTATTGGCAACGGTCTGGGAAACATCCCTGAGGATGATTCGAAGACAAGCCATCACAATTTTGATCCTCTGCAGAGGGGGTGGCACCCCTGTTTCGGTAGCCCAACGACCTGCACGCGAAGTCGAGCACTTTACGGTAGAACAGTTTAACGAGGGCCAATACCGCACACCCTCGGTCCCTGCGCAGACTGATCCAAGTGGTCACCCACCCGCACACTGACAGCAGCCAGTGATGCTTGACTTCGGTGATCTGCTGAGAACCGTGTCTTAACAATCAGTCCACTGCGGGACAAAATTTTAATATTAAAAAGGGTCGCCGGAGATTTTCCACAAGCTAGTGATGGTGTGGCGTGATAACGAAAAATAATTCTTTAAACTTTCTCCTCTAAACATCCAGATTCCCTGTGGGTATTGATTTTAGTCGATGTTTGAAAATTTTAACATTTCTTTCAGCTAATCTCTTTATTGCAGGGTATCTACATGCAATGAAATTTTGGGAAATACCGTACTTAGAGCAATATGGTTTGAATTCATCACTTGTAAAAATAGTTGCATTGTCAGAAATCATTGTTTTGGGAAATCTATGAAAAGAAAAATGTCGTTTAAAAATTTAATGGCTGTACTAGAAGTAGATCCATCTTTCGTAATAAGAATTTCTGCCCATTTAGAATTAGCATTAATGCATAATAGAATATTATGTCTTTCGGAAGAGCTAGTGCATTCCACATGAATTCTTTCCCAGTTGTATTCTGGATCATCCCAAGGATGTACAGTTGCTTTTGGTAGATTTTTTCGATGTCTGGCTCAGTCCCCACAACTTTTTAATACATTTTCAATATCACGATCGATTTCCTTCTAATACACGTAGCGTCTGGATGGCTGTTTCACTTTTGTAATATCAATAGTTGCACGCAATTCGTTTTAAAATTGAATTTCTGAGATTTTTAGGAATGATAATTCAATCTTGCTAAAATTTTATTCCGTGTGAAAAAGCGAATAGAGAATCTTTGGACTTAGTTTGCAGATCTCTTATAATTTTTAATAATTCAGCATCATTTGTACTATCTTCCGCTAAAATATTTGTAGTAATAGTCACTTGAAGTGTGATTTATTGAAACAATGATTCAGAATAAAAGTCACTCCACTTCTACGTTCATCAAAATATCAGTTGATATTGAGTCTTGTGAAATCAATGCTCTTGATAAACAATCAACTGATACTGATAAATTGATATTGGTAGATTCAATGTCAACATTAAGATTAAGAGAAATAAATTTATTTTCTGAGTGAATAGAGTATTTAATCTCACAGTCAACCTCCATCTGTTGTGGTCTTCCATTAAGCATATGAGTAATTATATATTTTCATCTGCAGAGAAAAATTTCATATAGTCAACAATTTATTTAGGTTACATTAGTTTGTATTTAGGGACAATATCAATATTTTTTACACCGTAAAAGTGGTCCGAGTAGGACTGATTTGCATTAGAAGGAATACTGCCAATGTTTTGAGCTTGCGAATTATCAGTACGTTTTTCTTATAGAGAGAAAGGAAGTTAACTTAAGAGACATGTCCTATTTTATCACAAGAGTCACATTTTAAATTTCTTCGATCAATATGACAATTACTTGATGTGTGATTCCTTTTACCGCAGTTGTAGCATAAATCATCAATTCCAAGTGCTCTGTAATCAATTTTGTATTTTCGGAACTGAGAATGAGTTCGAAACTTTGGCGATTGTAAATGGGACTGCCTTGAAAATTTACTTAGAAAAGAAAGTTTTTATGAAAATTGCGATTATGTCGTAACTGGCCAAACTGTGTCACGTTATTTGTATCAGTCTGTTTATTCCCTGAAACAGTTCTATAAGTTTATTGCACTAGTTTTTTACTTTGTATACGAGAAGTTTCCAAAGCAATGGCCTTCGCATAAACATCTTCAATTTTGCAAAATCAGATTGCAATAATTGTTCACAAATACAATAATCACAAACTCCATCAGGCTACTCCTAACTCATTGACGGAATTTTTAAATCTTCTTTTTTCGTAGTTTGATACATGCTTAGAAATAAAAGGTTTGATCCTATTTGATTTAAAAATACCGATGATTCTATCTATCTAATGGATGGTTCTATGGAAGCTCATTTCGCATTAATAAGTTGTCGTTTTACTGAGCTAACTTTCAGTTGAGAAATAGGATATCACATAAGTTCACTACGATGATTGTTGACTACGATGATTGCTCACTACGATGTTTTACACGTGGACGTTGCAGCAGAGAGGTGGGGAATTGGTCTCACAAGCGATGCGGAATTATTTTTATTTGCTGTATGTTGCTGGCAGATGAGTTTGGCTTTACAAGTAAGACGGGGACATTGTTCTTTTGAGCTGTGCAATTTGCATTTTGTAGTTGCAACGGGGTGATGGGTCATCAAAGTAGTGATATTGGTTCTATTCGTTGATGAAGGATGATAGAATTGTTTTCCATAGAAGAATGTGCTAATGCAATGTCTCGAATTATGCAATGCGATGGTCAGATATTGACCGACTTATTTGGCCATATTATTGTGCGCCATATTATTTGGGAGCCATTGTTGTGGCACGGTGGTGTCTAGGGTTGAAGAATAACACAATAAATGTAAAAGCTGTTTAATAAGAACAGGGTGGATAAAAGGGCAGGTAGTTCAAAAGAGACTGCATGGCAGGTGCATCAACCCCGTTGCCAATCTCCGGGTAGAATGAGTGGCACTGCTGTGTTTCAGCGCCACACCTTGCATGCACTATGCGCATATATATATATATATATATATATATATGTACATNTATATATATATACATGTTGTCAGTGAATTGGCAACACTGGGTAACCTCTGGCATTTTCACCAGTTTTCACCTGATTTCTTTTCCTGGTAAAAGTTTTTATTATTTTAACTCCTAAGGGGTCGCAGGGGTGTTTCACTTCAAAATGTGTGAACTTTTGAAAGTCTCTAGTTATGTATAGGTATATATTATTTTTCAATTTTGAAGAGTGCATCTCAAAACTAGAGTAAGCATAAGCATTAGGATTTTTTGTTGAATAAGCTGGAATAAGTTAAAAATGAAAACACAAAAAATAAATTCAGATTAATTTAAATTTTCAAAATCCATCAAATAATTTAATTTCAAAATTTTTCAATAAGAAGCTTATCAGACGATTAATTGGTAAGTTTATATTTCAATAAGACGTTATAAAAATAATTTATAATAATATAAAGTAAAATTATACAATGTAAATAATTACATACGATTTTAAACTCTATGGGATGAAACATTATACGCAATATGATTCAAGCTGTTTATTATAAATTATTGTGCGAATGAAATAAGTATAGAAAAATGTTACAAATTGAAGGTAGTTTTGCAATTTGTTGAGTTTAAATTTTAAAGTAATTTATTATTTAATGTAGCTTTATTGTTCAAGATATTATTCAAATATTTAATACTATGATGTTCCGATTTAACTTGGAGCAGTGAAGCTAAAATTGTCGACGTTACCTCATGATCAATTTACTTAAACAACATTAATTGTCAACAAGTTTTTGATTAGAACTTACCAAATCAGTATAAAAGTTATGCCAAGAGGCAGATAAAATGATTCGTTCACAAGGAGCAGGGGAAAACAATATACAGCAGCAGTGTATCTACCAAATGTATAACATCTGCTTATTTGCTTTTGGATTTCCGCCTTTAAAACGGCTATATTTTGAACATATGGTGTATTTAATGTGCTCGATTGTAAGTGTTTCTTCACGTTTGTAAATCATAGAAAATTGATTCAAAGTTTTGTGGAACTGATTTCTATTGACACACCATAATATTGTATAAATTTGTTTCAACCTTATAAAGCTTTAAAATAAAAGAATAATGTTTCCATTCAAGTTAAGGCTCCATCGTCACTATCAGTGAATCGGCAACACTGGGTGACCTCTGGCATTTTCAAGACTTTTCACCTGATATCTTTTTCTGGTAATAGTTTTCATTATTTTAACTCTTAAGTAATGGCTTTTGAGTCCTTGCAGAGAAGGTCAATTCATGGTTTGACCAGCCTCCAGGACGAGGGTCCAAATGTTGTGCCTAAAATATTTTTTTCAGAATATTGTCTTTAAATGACTTGCTGCAGATTTGATTCTTAAAATTTAATGAATTTTATAATATCGGTTTTTCGTAGACAAAATAGGATTTTAAACTTCATTTTCAATACCGAAAGAGAAACCATGTCATGAAATCTTAGAAATTGTTTCGTATTACTTAGCTCGACGCCTCTAAAACTTTAGAAAATTTGATAACAAATTGGACTACAAAAAGATTAAACTAGCAATCAATATTTTTAACAATTTCCAGAAGTTTATTGAAATGGAATTATTATAATACGTAGACTTATTTAAATCAATAAGCATTAAATAAATAAGCATCTACAAAATTCCTCCTATAGTAGGAATTTTGTAGATGCTTATGATTAAATTTTGTCATGAGATAAATGCGAAATGGTTTTTGAGTATAAGTATAAAAAATAAAATAAATGTACATCATTTGGTTACTATATGTAGTTGAGTGAACTAACTGAAAACTGAGTTTTTTTTTAAAAAGAAAGTGAACGAATGAGAAGACAATATTAAATATTCTTAGATATATTATTAAAATTTTTCAATGGTTCATACCAAACTTATAAAAGCTCCGTATCACAAACACAAACGTTCATGAATCTGAACAATACTTGAACTCCAGCATCTATTCTAAAAACTAGAATTCGTAACATTAAAACCATCTCTAAGTGAAAAGCACTATAAAAACTTTCCAGTTAAAAAGGCGTTTATCAATTTTGGACTAACAAGTATGCTACGTGTTCCGTAATGACTGCCCTTAATAAATATTTTTAGAGCTTTTCTACAAAGGAAGTCAAAACCATGCATATAAAACGTTGCAGGTTTGATTCTTCTTAATACATCATTTTGATACATTCCTATTACAAAAAATTTAAAAAATGAATTAATTTAAATTATTTTTGTAGATTATAATTAAATACTGATACGGTTTCTCTCGCTGACGCTAAAATCAAACAGGGAGTTTTGGAGGACAAAGTTTTCTGGCAAAAACAAATTGCTAATTCACTTCTTTTTATTAATAAAATTTTTATTAATAAAACTATTTATTATTCAATAAAGTTTTAAATAAAAACTCTAACCCGTCATTCATACCATTTATGTTATTTGATGAATGAAAGATATTTTCGACAGCTTTACTAGAGCATGAAACAAATTTAAAAGTGACGTTGAACTGATAATAGCAAATATCACTGTAAAATTGTAATTTTTATTTACAATATATTTCATCGATAAAATAAAGAAGTAGGAAAAGCTCAAGAACTCGCTTATTTTTGACCAACAAAGTGATAAGATAACATTAATTGACTGTGTTCCTTATTGTAAGAAATAATTATTTTCAAGAATTACTTAGTACGTATTATAACGCTTATGTACTACACTTAAAAAAATTGTTACAAACTAAAAATGTTTTTTTTTTATAAATATTATTCAAAAAATTACGTATTTTTGTTCTAGGCAGATATATGAGAATAAGTAGCTATATACATTCGCTTTACTCTCGCGAAACTCGTCGCTTTCTTTTACACATCACAGTTGACACATAGAATTATTTTAATGTCTGATTCGGTTTTGACACTGAAGGAGACTTTACATTGCAGAACTAAAACTATAATAGTTTTTTTTATGTGGAATTGTTTGTGCTATTGTTCCACTGTTTAGCTTCTTCATAACCGTTAATAATGGCTAAAAAATTGTTTTGTATAATATTTTACAAATTATTAATATGGTAAATTTTACGACATTCTATATCATATTTTTGATTGCAGATGATTTACTAATGACTCGAAACACTCTCTAAAAATGTCGTATACAATAAGTAGCAATCAGAGATCTCCTCAGAACAGAGGTGCACATACAGCAGCTAGTGGACAAGTCCCGCCTGCTAGAGGAACCTACGTTGCTCCAGATAGACCAGCACCGCCTCCTAGAGGAACTTACGTGGCTCCAGACAGACCAGCCCCGCCTCCTAGAGGAACTTACGTGGCTCCAGATAGACCAATCCCGCCTCCTAGAGGAACTTACGTGGCTCCAGATAGACCAGCCGCGCCTCCTAGAGGAACTTACGTGGCTCCAGATAGACCAGCTCCGCCTCCCAGAGGCACTTACGTGGCTCCAGATAGACAAGCCGCGCCTCCTAGAGGAACTTTCGTGGCTCCAGATAGACTAGTCCCTCCAGCAGCACGCCCCCCTGCTTTCGATAGTAATTTACCGAGCTCAGGAAGTTCAGAAGAATCTGGACCACCTTCTCTTACAGCAGGGAGATTGAGACGCGCTCCTCCAAATGTACCTCCTTTTCATTATGAATCACGTACAGATGAAGTACCAGAAGAGACAGAATACGAAGACGACGTTTTTGAACCTCATCGACCAGCCCGTTTTCGACTTGGAAGAATTTTTCCGGGATATCAGGTAAAACATATAATTTTTTATAAAAAATATATAGAGCTATTTTTTAAAAAAAAAGTTTATATGTACGGCGAAATCTAAAAATATTTTAAATGAATTGGTATAATAATAGCTTTGTCATCAATGCAAATACCATGATAATATTTTACCAAATTTAGAAAATGTTGAGTTACACTACGCATGATATGTTTTCTTTTAATATTTGAAGAAAAATCTATTCAAACAGCAAAAAATTTGAAATATTATTAAGATTTTGTGACCCATGCCCCTTTAAGAAAGTATAATATCAAAAAAGTCGAAAACTTCTTATGGTTTCTTCAGTTAAATGAGTTATTTTCACACATTTTTTACATTCTTAATAGTTTTTAATCAGTTAAAATTTTCATTAGAATAAAATAGCATTGTTTTTTTTTTGTTTAAAAAGGCCTAGGAATTTTATGATTGCAGTGTTACACTCATTATTAAAATCCAATGTAACCCATAAGCATAAGTTAAATTGTGTTAATCTGTTCGTCAATTAAATCCATTCAAAAAATCTTCAAAAAAATTATTAAACAAATAACTTTGAAAAGGTTCTGCTTGTTTTCTTTTGCTTTTTTTCATGTAGAATATATCCAAGATTTCTTGTTTATGATTTAAATTAAGATTTAGATTCTTGAATAAAATTAGTTCTTTATTTTATTTTTCCAGAGAGAATTTTATTACCTTTATGCCGAAAAAGTAAAAGAATATGACTTGTTGTGGAATGGTTTGGTTGAAATACTAGAAACATACCAACCTTTTACAATTGCTCAAGAAATCACGTGCCCATTGGTTCTAATTGAAACTATAAAACAGCTTATTATTGGGCAGAAATTATTTTTCCATAAGGTAAAGAAATCCTTTTATTATTCAGCCATGAAAAGTTAGCGGCTGGCGGTAAAGATTAGAAGAATAGTTCACATTTTTATTGTTAGGGAAAATTAAAGCGAGTGAAATAAGAGTCTTTTGGCATGGGACGCCATTCCGTTTTTTTTGGTTCACTACGATAATAATAATAAGTGATCTCTTTGTAAGCTCTTTAATAAGTGAGATTTTTAATTACCAGCCAATGAAGTGACTTAGTTCGAATCCCATCTATGACTGTTCGATACAAATTCCACTACCGGCTCGTATTGACAGCAGTGCTGACGTAAAATATCCTCAATGGTTGACGGATCATGGGTTAGAAGCTCCTTGCTTAAATTACATGAAAAAGATCCAGATTTTAAATTTTTTAAACAAACTTCCATTAACTTTTCTACTACAAAAACTAATTATTTCAGCAATTTAACACAAGAATAAAAAAAAAAAAAAAACTTTATAGATACAAAAACGTATGAAAGATCACATATTAAGTAGATTTTTTATTATAAATGTAAACAAACCGTTTGAACTTTAATCGATGTATTACTATGAGTAATATCTGACATATTAGTGAATCAAAAAGAAATACAATTAGAAACAGGTGAATATTTATTTTAACAAAACAAAAGGAAATACTTAAAAAAAGAATACAAAACCTTGCGATTCGGAGAAAAGTTTGACGAATACTTATTCAGTCTATCTCTTGTCTTTATTTACTTTGGTTTTTACGACACAAACACTAAATAATGTTAAACAAATCATTAAATGCTGTTTAAAGGTCATGTTTAAAATAAATATTAACTCATAAGTACAATTTTTAATGAGGATTCTTATTGTTTATATTTAGTTAGAACTGAACATATCAAGTTACCCCGAAAAGTTATTCGCTTATTTATTTGTTAAAAAAAAACGGACAAAAACAAGCATTCAGAAACAAATTCTAACACCTGAAAATCATTTATATACTACAGATATAAATAAATAAGTTCAATAAATTAGAAATAAATGAGCATTTACCTCACATAAGCGAGCTCCACTTCCAAGTTGCTAGTTATGTATATCTTCTACAATTTATTACCCTTTTTTTTTATTTCGAGACCTGATGGAAATCTTAACATTAGGAAGCCTTTTTTTAACTGTTTGCAATACCTCGCTGCGCAATTAGCCATATGAATAATTTTAAGTATCTAAATGGGCTTCGAACTCTCCCGCTATTGTTAACACTACGTAACTAGCGAACTTGTTTGCTCCATAATGGCGGATAGTTCTGCTCTCACTATGGAGGAGCCTTAATATAATACCAAGCCTACTTCGAAAGACATAATAATTATATTATTAATTACTAGTGAAATTAAATTCAACATCTTATGCTTAGGTCACTTTCAAAAATAAGCATCTACTTCAGATTTGGAAGAGAAAAATAAATTAAGTAGCACACATTTGCAAGGGGAAAAAAAGGAAAGAAAGGACGACCATCGTATGGCTCGTATGGAGGTAGTTTTAAATTATAAGATTAGTACTGCACGTTTGTTGTTATGTAATCTAGCGCCTGCAACTTATTTAGTATTTTGCCCTCCCTTGAAACATGATGTCAAACTTAAGTGGTCTTGCTTATCAGGAATCTTTTTTTTAAACATCTATGAAAAAAAAAAAATTTTTTTTAAACATCTATGTGCAATGTCTTAGTTACAAGAATAATAATACTCATTTTGTTTTATGTTTTGGTAAATCGATCAAAAATTAAAGAAGTTATGGGTCTCACAATCAGCAAATTAAAAAGGGGGTATGTGAAAGAGAAACATTTTTTCTTCTTCTGGGAACTTAATTTTAATTATGTTATGTGGAATTTAAGGCCCCATCCGAAGCCGCAGCGACGGGCAGCTGTCCCCTCCTACTTTCTAACAGCTTCACCACTGACTTGGCCCCCAATGATGCGCCTAGTCATCATTGTGTGAAAAGTTTTTCATAAAAAAGTGTTTCACTTTTTTTTTTTGCTTCTAACATTTGATTTTTATTTCAGTATAAAATTGATGTGACGATAAACAACATGACAAAGAGCTCTAATTTCTGGCTAGTTATTGCAAAAATCAAACGATTACATCAACAGTAAGATGGTTTTTATTTTTGTTATTATTATTGCATAATTATAAGGAAGCACTTTGAATTTTTATATCTTTATAAAGTGATATTTTGAAAACTAGTTAAAATAAGAGGCATAAATTGTAGATGAGCAAAGCAGAACCCGCGTCAATTGTAGAAACTTAAGAGACTCATTACTATATTTTCAGGTTTCCTAATTGTATTTTTAGAGCAATTCCTCTTTTAGTTTACCCTGATTTATAACACTACTCAAAATATACTACTTTTAATCTAAAATAATCTTCGTTTATTCTTCTCTTATTTTACTAAGTTATTTTTTTCCTCTTTCATTTAATTGAACTCTTTACTCTCCTTCAATCTCAATACATGTAAAGGGTATATATTATTACTACATCTTAAGGAACAAAATCAAAGAATAACAATTCATAATTATTTAATTTAAATTCCATGCATTAGTGCATACTTAAAACTGATAAATATAAAGACGAAAAATTATTAAGAATTAAGAAATGTGTTAAAATATTAAAAATTAAAAAGAGCAATATAGTTAAAAAGTCAGAAAAAAGAATAACGAAAAGATTGAATCTCATCTTTAGCTCGCACGATTATATTCGCAAATAAGAGTGCTTTCTAAGATAATACTATATATCCAAAGCAAAATACACCAAAACTCACATTATTGTATTGATATATTTCGCTTCGGCTATGTTAATACAATAATAGAAAGCACTCATATTTGCGGATATAACCGTTTGAGCTAATGACGAGATTAAATATTTTGATCATTAAAAAAATTTAATTTTTAAATCATTAGGTAAAAAATATTTTTTTTTAAAGTTTTTTAACAGGATAAAAAAAGTTTTAATTTTTAACAATTTTTCGTTTATTTTTTTTAATTTTACAATTTTACTTTGTATCTTTATCTTATTTTATGGGATCTATGTGTTTGCAGCTTATGAGCAGTTAAAACTTTCTTAATTTTCCTTATTAATTTCTCTTTTCCTTAATTCTCTTTTGTTTCCTTCTAATTAATATATATAT